AAGGGTATATCGTACCAGCAACGAACTTTCTCCTCTTGGAGCTGCATGCCGTCAGTAGCCATTCCTAATTGCGCGCTCGGCTGCCGCGGTGGCGAGCGGGAATACTCACATTGCGGTTTGAGTGGTGGCCATTTTGTCGAACTGTCGATGGGCGTAACTGAACTCCGGGCGTGGGTGTTCAGAAAAGTCGAGCCGTTGTTATCGAAGTCGAGATACTCACATACGAAATCGACGTCCTTAGCGAGGTGAGTGCGCGCTAAGCAACGCTCGGACCACATATGTCACCAGCCACAGACCTGATAAGATAGCCACGGTCTGCCCTGCCACATGCAGACAAGCAGAGCAGTAAACTGGTTGCAACTTTGTGGCTAATGATATGATACGTTTAATATAGTTAACTAGTGCTAAAACAAAGACATTCTGTAATTCCTGATAGTGCGCCCGGAAAATGCCACCCTCCAAGTCCCACATGCACAATGCGTCTTTACCAGTCTACTTTGCATCGCCCAAACTAGTGGTGCTCGATCGGCTCCTCAGGTAGCAGGGGCTCGTGGTGCCTCTCCACACACGCCTTTAGCGGTGGGCGGATCAAGTCGTTGAACAAAAAGGTTCCGTACACCAACAGAGCGAAACCGAGAACCTGCAGCCACTTGAATGTCTCCCAGCCAAGTCCTAGCGACACGATCCAGATGAAGAGCGTGCGGCAAGTATCAATCGTCGAGCGCGAAGTAGCAGAGACGGTGCGGGTAACAGAGAGACCGAAGAAGTTGAAGCCACTGCACAAAGTTAGTGGATATCGCACCAGAGACAAAATATACATACCCAATGCTGATCATGATCAGTACCGAGGATACGGCGATGGCGCGGTAGTGGAACATCTGGTACAGGCCCTCCCTGGCGTTGAAGTATCCAGTTCCAATGGTCAAGTGCAAAACGATCATGCCAACGAATGTGACAAGAAACCCAAAGACACCTTCCCAGCCAACAACCTTGATGGGCTCCATGGAGTACTTCTCCATGATTCTCTCCTCGAGCACAAACTGGGTGGCAGTGAAGATCTGAGCGCCAGCAATAAGCAGCACACCAATAACAGTCATGGCAGCTTGAGAAGCAGCCGTCTTAACCTCTGATCCAGCAACAGAATCATGAATCGACTTATGGCCAGGCGTCGCTTTGTCATCCCTGGTGATGGCACCAGCGAGTCCGACGATTGCAACACCCGTCACAACTACGAAGAGCGAGAACCACTTGTACAGTCCGAGATGACGCTTGAGGAACCATACACTGAACAGACCAACGAAGAGCACGAGCGCGCCTCTGGTCATCTGGTAAATACTGGCTGCGACAAACAACAGTCCAACGTTCATTAGGGTGGTTCCAGCAATGTCGCAGCACGCCGGAAGCGCCAACAGGAAGATGCTCTTTCCTTGCAGCGGGATCCTACCCTCATCGTCGGGATGCGCAGGCTTCAACGGGTTCACAATAGGAGTTGTCTCGCTAACATCATCTGAAGCCGGGGTAGCCGAGCCAGGAACGGGTTCGTAGCCTGCCTTCGCAGTCGCGTATCGCTGGTAGAGAGTGAACGCGCCGATGACAAGCCAGCAGCCCATCTCTCCAATAAACATCTGCAGCGTCTGGAGAACAGGCTGCTCAAAGTGTTCCTTGTATTTCGGTGAAGGCGAGTCGCAGTTCTTGACGCATTGCATGTCCTAGTCATAGGTGTCAGCATTCCAGCTCATTGACTCATGGCAAGGGGGGTCGTCATACTTGATACTTTGTCAACAGTGTATTGCATACACCTGTCAACAGCATCATCGCCACGAGAAATGGCACCGCTGCTTTGACCGCCATGATGAAGATGGGTTGGAGCTCCCAGAGCTCACGAACGCTCGTGGAGTAATCGGATGCGTATCGGATGCAACGTAATCAGTCGTTGCTTACAAGGACAGAAGAGCGCGGAGCGCAGGAGTGATGGAGGAAGAAGGATGGATAGAGGAGTGAGTATAGATAGTCTAGGCGACAACAGGGTACTAGGCAGCTTTAAGCTCCAAGCTGGGACCCGTGATGGTTCGGGGCCGCAAGTGAGGCGCGTGAGGTTGCGCGACGAATGATGTAGGAGCCGCCGCACCAGCCTCGGCGATAAGAGATGGCGCTAACGCTGAGCCCGGCGATCCCTCCAGGACTGATGCTTACTTACAGCTGCTGCATGTATGGTCGATTCATCAACGATCACCCATGTTCTTGTAGCTGTATATCATATAGTCTAATCATGTTCAACCATTCCACGTTTCCAATCCCGTACTTGCTGAGCCAAGTTGGCGGCAAGGCAGACACAATGGTGCGCTAGCCTCCGCACTTGTCTCGTGCTTATTCGGGGAACCGGGGGACGCGTGACCATGTCAGGCACGGTGGCTTCAGGAGCATTTCCGTCCCCTGGCTCAAGCTCTCCATGTACAGGGTTTCTTGTTCGACATACAGCACTCTTCTTTACACCGTATTGTCCAAATGTACAACAACCTGTCTTTGCGTAATAGATTCTACGTTCAGTCTAAATAATTCACAATTGAAACTTTTCCCATTGAATCCCATAAGCAAATTTTACAAGAACCATCTGAACTCGGGGTTCTTTGGTCCATCTCTCAATTTCTCTGTCGATACGTCTCTGGCGGTGAGATTGACGCCCTGGCGAGCATTCCTCCTCTTGTTATCAATCATCATGTACGTGCCCAACAGCGCGGCACACAAGCAGCCTGTGGCTCCAAACGCCGCCGTCGTAGCCAGAGCTGGAATGTACGCTGGCGCATCCTGAGGTCTGAAGATGTTCGAGCTAACAACACCCATCAGATTTGCTAGCGGCACACCAACAGAGGTAAGTGTTACACGTCTGTTCTCGTCTGCGACGTTGTTGTTGTACCATGTGGAGAGCAGAACCGAGGGTGCAGATGTTCCCCACGTCATCATGAAGCAGGCATAGTAGGCGACAGTAAGCGAATGCTCGACATCAATGGTGGCATAGATGATGAAGCCGATGAAAGTCAGGAGGAAGCCGAGGGCGATGAAAGGTGACCGAAGACGCGTATAGTCCGAGGCAAAGGCCAGGATGAGGAGAACACAGGCACCGACGACGTTTGGTGCGACTGTGTAAAGATTCGTCTTGATCTTGTCGTAGCCCAATCTGCCCACAATCTGTGGCAAGAAGAGCGACACCGATTGCAAGGGTACACCAAGGCAGATTTCGATGAGGAGAAATCCATATGTCGACGGTTCCTTGAAAATACCGAGTGCATCTTTCAGGCTAAACTCTTGGTTGACGACGGACGAAGAGTCAATCTGAATACGGGTGTATGCCAATTCTTTCTCCGCTTCATTGAGAAACTTGGCCTCGTATGCGTTCTTGGGGAGATACCAGTACGCGAAGAACGAAAAGAGAACTGTGAGCGAGCCCTCAATAATGAATAGATACCTCCAGGAATCTAATTTCGACTCAATCTGGAATACGCCGAAAGCGAGGAGTCCAGAGAACGCATTCGCAATGTTCGAGGCAGCGTAGAAGATAGCAAGGCGTCGTGCGAGTTCGCCACGGCGGTAGAATGTGGTTAGGTAGTAGATAACCAGAGGGAAAAAGGCGCTTTCTGCCATTCCTTTTTATCCAGTTAGTTCATGAACATTCATATGCTCGAACTTGTGAATTAACATGTCACGTGACTTACCCAAAAACCATCGCAACGCCATCATGCCACTCCAATTCTGCACACTGGCAGCCAACAACGTCGCACTGCCAAAAGAAAACATCATAATTGGCAGAACACGGTGCGGGCCGTACTTCTTTCCTAGCATGCCGACCGGGGGTGCAAAAATTACGTATGGCACGTAAAAAATGCTCAGCATGATATTATACTGATTCCCTTTGAAATGCAAGTCTTTATCCATACCATCTGTTTTGGCGTTTCCTAGGTTCCCCTTATCAAGAGCATTAAACAGGTACATAATTGCGAGCATGGGCAAAACTCGGATATCGAATTTCCATGTTAGAGCCTTTTCGTTTTCGTAGGTGGGGAGGTGTTGTGTTGTGCCTTCGACAGGAACCGGATGTTTAGACGATGAAGCCGAAGCAGTAACTTTAAGGCCATCGCCCTTGGCCAACTCCGGATCCTGGTTCTCAGACATAGTTGTTTTCTCGACCTGCGCGGTTGAAATGGCGGGGTTGTAGGATGCGAGCTCAAGTTGTCCTCGAGACGAGGGTCCAACAGGTAGGGATGGAAATGAACTGGAAAAGGAAGAAGAACACCACGAGACGCGACGAGTGAAAGAAAAGAATCAAGACATTGGGAAGCAGCAACCTTTTTGTACGACCGATCGGACCACCATCTGTATCATCCAATCCAACTTGCTAGTCAGTCAGTCATACAACCTTTCTTGCCGTGGAGTTACATCAACACGCCTGCCCTGGTGTATCCGCTAAGCTCAATCCCTGTGCAGCCACATGTTCGCCGCGACGTAACCCTTCCCAGGTTTTGACCAATACCGCTTATGTTACCCTCGTGGCACACCTGCTGTGAGTGGTTCGGGGGGCTGCTGCACCGTTCAAGGCGGGATCGGCGTGTAGGGATCAGAAGGGGTTTGGGGTTGGATGAGATGCGGAGCGGAGATAAAGGGTTAGCAGATGATAAGAAACGGGCCGCTTTGGGAAGCGATTTCGGAGGGAGGGCTGGCGATTTCAACCATAGGGTCGCTTATTAGTTTGTCTGTTTGCAGGCGCAAGCTATATTTTGCGCACCAGCTGATTTTTTTCTCAAGTGTGTTGGAATTTCCTCGTTGGTAGGTGTGTAAGGCTGAAGAGGTTGATGGTTGTGGATATGGTTGGAGTGGAGGTGGGGTAGGCGGTATGGGCTCCACTGATACTACCTTTCTCCGCATCACGGACGTGGACGAAGAGTTGGAGAAGGCGCTGTGGCTCTGTCTCGAACAACAACAAATGAGGAACATCATGTCCCGTAGCTATGCCAGATCTCGACTGTGACGTTTCTCTCACTAATTTTTCTATATTTCTATGGAACAGTACTGCCTACAATGTATGCGACGAAATGAACAAACCGATCAGTCATGCAGCACCGATATCTCGGCGCACGAAGAAGACGCCACACAGATACATGACAAAAACCTATGCAGTCATTTCTGGCACATCTCCAGAGCGGTAAACTCTCTCCATCTTATCTTGGCACTATTCGATGGGCGGGGCCCCGTTATCAGCACCCCGTGCCTCGGTTATACAAGAAAGCGTGCGATAGCGGCTATTAATCAAGAGTATTTGTTATCATGCTTTGGTCACTACACAGTAATCCTTTTCAATCTTTTGCTCCACAGCAGCACGACAAATTCCCGGATAGAGCGAGACTTTAGATTGCAGGTTGCAAATGCGGAGACAAGGCTAATGCCTCCTTATCAAAAAGTTGGAAGCTGCCAAGAGGTAGGAGAGGATTTTGCCGAGGGAGACAAGATGGCACTGGGTCGTGTGTTGCACAAGTAGAATTGCGTTTTTTGTAGTGTTGCCTGCTAGCACAAGGCCTGCCTGAAAGCAAACAAAAAGGACACGCTTGTTGTCTTCCAAACCGTCTATAGTTGAGAAAAGAACAGAAAAGAAGGACGAGCTATGATGCCCGGCCAATGTTGACTACAAGTACGTGCGATATCCAGTAATCTCCAGACAATAACAAGACTACGCTCGAGTAAAACAAAAACTTGAGCTCATACTATACAACGCCAATGGGTATCCTTGAAGAGCGAGGCTTTTACTCGTAAACGCCTCTACCAAATGAATATAAGAAAACATGTCCGTGTCAGTTCCAAGAAACTAACATTTTTTTTTCACGGGTTATGAGCTACTTCTTTGCCCTTTGATGAGCGCGGATGTAGAAAGTGAAGACCGCCCTTGGCGACGCCGGCGACATTGAAGTGCAGCGGTTCCTTGGGGCCCTTCTCCCTTACAGGCATCTTTCGCTTTGAACGACCCGAGACATACATGGGCTGCTGTGCATGGGTGCCGGTACCGACGTGAGGCATGCTTTGCTTCATTCGCAGCTTGGGCTTCTTGTCGCGGTGCTCATCATCAGTAGTCTCGTTGTCAAAGCTGCGAAGACTACTCCGCTCAGATGAAAAGCGAGGGGTGGTGGTGGAGTGATCCGACGACCGTGTTGGCGTACGCTGGATGGGGCTCAAAGGAGCCGGCCTGAATGAGCGAGTCGACGATGCCGTCTGAATACGCTCAATAGGACTCAGCATAGCAGCCGAGTTAGCAAGGACGTCCAGTCCCGAAGGCGCCCTAGTCGCCATGGAGTGAGTTCGAGATGAATATGTAGGAGGAGGGTCCTGGTAATCGTACATAATCTCCGAGTCCAAGCTCTTGTATTTGGCGGTGCCGTCGAGCTCCTCGTCGTGCTCCCAGCAGGTGTCGTCGACACCAGTGACAGGAGGAAGGAAGCGTATCTCGTTCCAGGTTACGTCCTCGTATTGAAGAGTGATGTAGAGAACATCTCCTTGCATCTTGTCGTGAGCGATGCAGTGATCTTCCAGGAATGGAAAATCCCATACTGCGCGGTGCACAAGATCGGGAGGCAAAAGCGTAAGGGCCATGCGGCCGAACGGCTCGTCTGCGGGCCGGTGACCAGTCATTGGCATCCATGGTCTTCCTCGGAAGACGCCCTTGAAGGCAGTCTCAATGTGATTTGCGAAACAGGAGCTGTCCTGGCTAGGGAATTCAATGTTTTGGTGCAGCTTGCGCGATGCACACCGTCGATACGCATTGCTGTCAGGGTCAAAGGCGAACTTTTGCGACTTGCGAGGCACAAAGATGACGCGGGCGCTCCACGACAGGGGATATTTTTTGTCATTGCGGATGGGAAGTTGGCCAAGAGTATGGTTTGCTTGCATCAAAGCTGGCAGCGGTGGCACTGGCGGCGCCTGTGGAGTTGAGCGGCGTGCTTTGGGTGTTGCAGGAGCAGGCGTTTGGCCTCTGGATATATCGCCAAACTGCTCGATGCGATCGACTCTGTTTTCCAACTCCATGCTAAATTCGTCTACCATGGTCAAGCGTTCGCCCTGCAACTTGATCTGGTCGCTGAGCTCCGTGGTTCTATCCACGACGGCCTCGACGCGGTCGTCCATGGACAGCTTCAAGAGCTGCATGTTTTGGTATATACGAGCCTGGACGGCATTGTTGGTCCTGATGAGTTCTTCGCGCGCCATTCTCTCGCGGAACAGTTCTTGTTTGAGGTCGTGCTCCAACGACTCGAAGCGCCTGATTTCGCGCTGCAATTGCTTCATCTGGTCTACTGCGTGCATGTATGCGTCCATTGAGACGGCGGAAGCGGGCTCAGCCTCATGGATCCAGGCCTGGTGTCCACAGCCGCAGAGGGAGCGTACCATGGAGTCCGGATAGAAGCAGCGGCAGGAGCAGCGCTGGCGGGCGCCATTGTCGGCCGGAGACGAGAGGATGAAGGTACATTCTCCGCGTGGCAACTGTACGTCTTGGGCCGGCGCCGGGTTTCCAGGCAGGTGGGTAGGAGGTTGCGTATTGTCAAGGAACATGGGGAGTCGACCTGGGTCGGTGGTGATGGTAGCGTGGTTGTTGGGAAAGCACCGGGCGGCTCATCGAAGGCCGGCAAGAGGGATGGAGAGCAGCAGAGTGGGCAGGAGGGAAATGAGCGTGTACGTGGTGTGGCTAGATGGGGGGCAGTTGAGTTAGCTGGGGGGTGGCCAGGCTCGACTAATGTATATGTATGTATGGACAGGCACAGGCAAGTGGGCAGGGCAGGGCAGGCTGGGCGGGTGGAAGCACAAGATAAGCAATCGTCGACCACTACACTACTCACCCTCAGAGGCGGACAGACGGGGCGCACGGGAGCATCCGAGTGGGCAAAGGCACAATCAAAGCGATGGACGGGGACGTGTGCGCCCGTGGGTGGACGAGGGATGACGGGCGATTGGGCGCGGCAAGTAGAGTGTGTGTATGTATGTATGTATGTAGGGAGCGATGGTAGGGAGGGCGCGGGCTACGAAAAGAGTAGAGCACTCGTCCGTGGGAGGAGGCTTCAGCAGCATGTGCAGGCGTGGGCCATGGCGGGTGTGCAGGTACTCTTTTCTTTTGGGCCCGAACTAGCTCCCGCGCCGGGGATGCGCAGGCCTGTCATGGCAATGGCTGGGGGGGGGATGGTGGGTAGTGGGTGGGTGGAAAGCTGGAGGGTTGCATGTGTGAGGGAGAGGGAGGGTGTGTGTGAGCTCGGCGGGAGGAAGAGATAAGAATGGCGGCTCGTGGGCAGACGCGGGCCAATCAGAGGGCACGAGGGCAGGTGGCGGGACGTTGTGGGCTCCGCCGCTGCCTTATCGCAACATGCACACACACAGACACGACGCCGCCGTCCCCCACGCTGCCAGCCGCCATGTGGGCGCTGATTGGGCCGCCCACATGGCGCCATTAACGCAGAAGATTCCATACTGCTGGCTGCGCAGTCTGTGTAAGTAATGCGCCCCCGCCGGCGGCCATGGAGCGGTGACGCTGCTGCATGTGGCCTTTGGCAGCCTGCCCGCTCTCGCCCCAGTGCTGGGCTCGACGCTGACCCCCCGGCGCCACACAGCCACGGCCCCTTGCTTGGATGACACACGGCGGCAGCAATTAATTGCCCTGTTATGTACATGCTCCGTCCATGTGTACCGATCTACCTACAGTCTTGCGCAGATTCTGACTTGCCGACATGCCTCCCTACATACCGACTTACGTCCGTAGTACACATATATATCCTACTGCCCTGCCCTGCCTGCCTGCGCTCCCTCGTCGTCGCCGCGTCTGTGTTGACTCACCCGCCGCCAAGACCGTCTTCAACCGACCGCGCTCGGGAAAACGTGGACAGGCACCGTCATTTCCATTCGTCCTTCGGTCGGTGGTGGAACCCATCAGGTAAAAGAAAATGCTCTCTGCCCGCACCTCCACGCCGTGACTGTACTGTATTTGTGCTCTCTCCGAATATTTCGTCATATCCAGCCCGCCCGCCGCCCGGCCATTCGCGCAATAAACGCTCATCCCACAAACCCGCCATATTCCCATAGTTTCTCCCTGCATCCCGTTACTTCTGGCCAGGTGCATTCACGTCGGATGGACTCCTCCTGCCAAACAGGGCTAGCCCGCGGGAGCACCCGTTCACAGTGGGGACGCTGTGCAATGCAAATGTGTGCGCATCCCTCTCGTCTCGAAACGGAAATACGGTGGGTTCAGGTCAAAACCAGTTTCCTGCCCTTTGCTGTTCCTCTACACCTTGCTCCCTCCTTGCTCCCAACCGGTGTGTGTAGTATGTATATACACGCCAACTCACCCGCATGCACGCCATGCTGCTGCCACAACCACCCCGTGCCTGGATGCATGCACTACTCTCCCACTGATATGCTTTCTTTTGCGATTAACCACAGCACCACCTCGCAATGCCAACTCCCAATCCAGCCCTCTTTCTTGTCTGCTTTGGGCAACGATGCACTGCCTGACGTGTGTGCTTACAGGAGAAATTGCAAGGCCCATACAAAAGACACTTTCCTGACACATGTCCATGCCACTAGCCCCAAAATCATCTGATGAAGCTATGATAGAGTTTGAGGCTGCTGACGAGACGACGCCCAAATGGCGAAGCAGCAACGCGTCGTTTGAGGCTGCAAGGATCGTGCCTGCCCCTTCGGCCCTCGGAGCGGCTTCTCTCCGGTTAACTTGCCAAGACCACCGAGTTCAAACACTCTGCGCGCCCCAAGTAGTCACTGTGGCTGGACTCTTCCCAGAATTTACATACGTCGAGAAACAGCTTACTTAATGCCGGAAGAGAACTGGGTTGCTCACGGGGGTGTTCCCGCGTGCGACTTGTGCCATTCCCGAAAGGTACCTTTACTCTCTCTTCACAACCCCCTTGTAGTCGCCGAGTGACCATCGCCTCGATCAAACTACGCTGGTCAACCGTCTCGGAACTGGCCCATATCCTGCATCCGACACTAACTGCCGTCAGGTCAAATGTGACCGCAAAGAGCCATGTGCAAACTGTGTAGCGGCCAAGGCCGAGTGCTTGCGGAACAGGCACAAGCGTGTTCCCCGACCCAAGGTCCGGACGTAAGTCCCCCACGCTCATTGTAGTACACCGAATCTGGCGCAAGAGCAGCAGCAGTGGCAACC